CATCCTGTTGAGTTAAGCCAAATTTAATGGCAAGCTGTTGGTGTATTATTCTAGCTACTTGGTTATGTCTGTGCAAATACTCACCATTTGATAGTTGTGAACAACCGGAAATAACATGTCTGAGGGACTCTCCAGGGTGGTGACATGCGCGACATACGTCAACTGTGCCGTCCCTCAAAATGTATTTCCGATAGTTGTTCGTTTTAATTACTTCATCTTGTATTGCACAGATAAAACCTTCAGTTTCTGCAAAAAGGTCACCAAATTGTATCCAATGTACTGATGCAACCATGTCTACATAAGGATTAGTCAATGCTTTAAAAAATCGACCATGCAGTTGTTTGTCATTCCAAACCTTTTTGCGTTCATCTATAGTCATAGTATGAGGCCTCTGCCAGTCCTTTGCCGACATATTAAGCGGGGTTAATGATTTGTCATTAATCACTACGTCATTATGAATGTGTGATGTGTCTTTTTTTTTAATAAAATAGTCTCTGAGGTTGTATACTTCACGGTTGTGTAGGTTTTTAATGTTTAATAAGCCCCGTCCACCATCTTTTCTTGGAAGATATAACCTCATGACAGATGATCGTGGGTGGTGCATTCTGTGCGTAGTCATTAATGTACGGACTCGTCTATCTAAGTCATCCAATTCCGTTTGAGACCATCTTGTAACGCCAAAAGTATATAGAAGGCTAGGTATTACCCAGGAGTTATATGCTCTAATTTTGTTTCCGCCGGATAAATGACTTTTGATAACTTTTTTTTAATCTTGACATAAATTTTACTTTTGAATTTTCTTTAATATTTTTGTCATTAATTCCTAGCGCTTCTGCCATGCCCAAGTATTTATAGGTTTCTGTTTCAGAAAGAGAACTGAAATGTAAGTCATTTGTAATTGCAAAATTATTACAATCTTTAATTTTGCCCCTATTTACGTTGATGACAGCACATTTATCTATTCCAAATTCCATTCTAATATCATTGTTGAAACTATGTGTTAATTTCAACAATAATAGTAGATTACTCTCTTTTGATGTGAATAGTTTGAGATCAACCATATAAAGTAGATGTGAGATCGGTGAGTTTACTTTTCGAAACCGAAACCCTAATCCGGATTCCTCAATAGCAGTGCTTAAAGGATTCAGGGCTAAACAAAACAAAGTTGGGCTCAAACTATCGCCCTGGAATATACCCCGTTTAATATTTATAGAGTCTATCGAACTACTTTGCACTCACCTGGTAGATTTAGGACAGTGTTCCACTGACCCATTACTTTACTTAAAAACTTACAAATTTTGTCATCTATTTTATATATTTCTAAAACTCTCTTTAGCCATGAATGTGGAACAGAGTCATATGCCTTTTTGTAATCCACCCAAGCAGCGGACATATTTTTGCGATTACGAAAGACTTGTCGGCAAATAGCTGTGTCAATGAGAAGAAGTTCTTTACAACCACGTGACCCTTTCCGACATCCGTTCTGTGCAGTTGAAAGAATGTTATTATTTTCCAAATGTTTATAGATCTTCTTATTCAAAATTGCAGTTATTAATTTGTATACAGTTGAAAGGCATGTTATTGGTCGGTAATTTTTAGGTTCCGTGGTGTTTCCATTTTTATATAGTAAGTGGGTAATACCAGTTGTAAGAAGTCTCGGGAGCTCACAGCACTCAATGGCTTCTTGAATCTGTGCAGCCAAACGCACGTGGCTACTTGTTATCCATTTCAGCCAAAAGTTGTGTATACCATCTGGTCCAGGTGATTTCCAGTTGTGTAATCTACGAGTAATTGAGTGTACATCTTCAGCAGTAATTGAAATAGAACCCATGTTAGCCAAATTAGAAAACTTACGTTCGGTTGCACGAATCCATTCGCCTTCATTATGAGAAACTTCGTTAGACCATATACTTTTCCAAAAATTTAGACATTCATTTAAGCTTGGGCTGCCATGAGTACAACTATTAGTTGTAGTGTTCTCCCACGACCGATACACCCACTTTTGGTTACTTTCGAATGTGCGATTCTGGAAGTACCGTTTAGATCTTTCTGAATATCGTCTAATACGGTTGGCCCATGCTTTTAACTTTTGTTTTTGTGTATCAATGAATTCAGTAATTTTATCCGGAAAATGGGGATCTGATTGGCTAATATCATTTTCATTAGCGATTTGATTTACTAAAGTAATTATTTTTTTACGTTTGTTACCTGTTTGGTAGCTTATTAATTTTCCTATAATTTTGCGAGTATTGTCAATTCGTTTTTGAATTCTTTGTTTCCATTTAGGTTCTGTATTATTTTTCTTAAAATTTTGTACTGAAATGACAGGAATTTTCATTATCATACATATAGCATGGGCACAACAGTATAGAAGAGACATAGTTTCCAAAATAGAGTTACTTTTTTCAAAATAATCTTTACATAGAATATTCATTGATGCTACTGTTAGAATAGTTTTTTTGTTGTTAGGAAGTTTAGGTAGTTTCGGTCTATTTTCTATTGGTGTATTTTTATATTCCAGAAGGGAACATTCGAAAGTCCTTTTCATATATTCGCTGTCTTGGGAACTCACATCTATATCAAAACAATTTTGCTCTACTTTTTCGTTATTTAAGTTAGTAATATTTATATTATGGTTACTGTTATTTACATTTAAGTCATCAGTCTCACCTGGAAGTGTTCGTTGGGAATCAGGAATTGAATTGATAGTAGATGTTGAGTACTCACTGCAAAGTTGTTCAATTAATCTGTCGTCCAAAATCTTACGACTTAGAATTACACGTATTTGATCTGAAAGTCTTTGGGCAGTTAAGTTTGTTAGGTTGGGTTGTAGCTGTTGGAATTCAGATAGCATTTTAGGGCGATAAGATGTAAGATTGGTTCCTCCTTTGGTAGCCTTATAGTACGCGCGCATAACACTTATATTTAATTTCTTTAGTCCAGCGCATGCGTCGTCGCACTACACCATCAGTAGCGGGGTCCTCATGTAGGATGGTAATTCCTGCAGGTCCCAAGCCAGCCGCTGGCGCTCTTCGTCCCCTCAAAGATGGTATGGGGGTTCTTCTTGTGCCTCTTGGATTACATTCCATGGATGTGTAGTCCTCCGTAGGCGATGTTACGTGTGCGATTGTGGTATTGGCGGTATTTATTCGTATTTGTCGTCTCGTTCGATGCATAATGTAACGTTAAATTAAATATTTTATAAATCTGTTTGTAATTTACTTAGATGACAGTTGTCAATTTGAAAGAAATACATTTTTCTTGAAATTAGTTTCTTATCCACAGATTTTTAAAGTTTTATTTATATTGATATTGTAAAATCTATTTGCGTTGAGAATTTGTTATTTGGGAACTTGAAACATATGCTACAAAAATTCATTTTTAAGATTTTGTACTGACTGCATCATTTACTTTTGACAACGTCCGCCATTTTATTATTATTATGTGTGGGGTATCTATATAGTTTTCTCATCTGGTTGGGATGTATAAATATATAATTATAAACGAAAATGAAAGGATAAATATACATAAATATCAATAAAATAAAATAAATACAAAAATACATAAATAAATAAAAGCCCAACCAGATGAAAGCCCTCGGCAGGGGAGACCAAACGGCCAAGGGTTAGGGAGAAAGGGAAAGAAACCGGCGGACGATGCGGGCAGTATCAAGGAGCACCGCCTTCTGCATTTGAGCCCGGAGCGGTCCGTCACGGAGTCCCAGTCGCCTCAGATGACCAGAGAGGCTAACTGGGATTAGCCCATTCGCAGAGACGACTACAGGAATAATTTCGGCCGGCAGACCACCCCACATGTCGGTCACCTCGTGAGCCAGGTCCAGATATTTTGATTGCTTATCTGTTTCGGCTCTCACGAGGTTCTCGTCATACGGGATGGTAATATCGACCAAAAATATCCTTGACTGTGCCCGGTCCATCAGCACAATATCAGGCTTATTCGCAAGAATATTCCTGTCTGTGATGATGGCCCGGTCCCAGTAGAGTCTGGCGCGGTCATTTTCGAGCACGGCTTCCGGCAAGTACTTGTAATACGGCAATTTCCGGTCCACGAGACCGTATTTCAGAGCGAGCTCCTGGTGTAGAATTCTGGCTACTAGGTTGTACCTGTGCAAGTACTCAGAGTTAGAAAGCGCCGAACAACCGGAGATGACATGCCTAAGTGACTCCCCGGGATGGCGACAAGCTCGACAGACGTCGACGGTGCCATCCTTTAGGATGTATCTCCGATAGTTGTTGGTCTTAATAACCTGATCCTGTATTGCACAGACAAAACCCTCGGTTTCCCCGAAGAGGTCACCGAAACGTAGCCAGTTGAGGGAGGCGACTGTATCTACGAAGGGCTCATGTAGAGCCTTGTAGTACCTCCCGTGGAGCTCCTTCTCCTTCCATACGGTCTCACGGTCGGAATTGCTAAGCACTGCTGGGTCCTGCCATTGCTCGTTGGCTAAAGATAGAGGGGTAAGCCCTTTATCACTAGAAATGACGTCATTATAGAATGGATCATCCGATCTCGCCAAGAAGTACTGACGGAGACTGCACACTTCGCGATTATGCATGGTGAGCGCGCTCAGAAAGCCACGCCCACCATACTTTCGCGGCGAGTACAGCCTCATTACCGACGATCTCGGATGATGCATCCTATGGGACGTCATGGTAGTGCGGACTTTTCTATCCAGGGCGTTAAGCTCAGTCTGAGTCCACCTGAGTATGCCAAAGGTATACATGAGGACAGGCATGACCCAGCCGTTATATGCCTTATTATTATTATATTTATATGATTATTATATCAGGGCAATTTAGAACTTTCATTATTTGATTGACTGATGAAGAGATCGTATCCTAGAGCCATCTGTGCGAACAAGGCTTAAGTTTTTGAGTTATTATAAAGTGGCTATATTACCCTTCACGTACGCTATAAAAAGGGGGTTGATCAGAGTCCGTATAAAAAGAGGGGGTGGTCTGAGTCCGAGTGGTATCCAGGCGGCGATGCAGAGCGGGCCGCTGCGCTCGGTGCTTGAGGACATATTCGTAGTGCGGCGCGTGCAGACGGTGGGCGAGGCGCTGGGCGCGTGCGCGCAGCTGGCCGCCGCCTTCCGCGGCGCGGCGCCGCCGCTGCTCTGCGACGACACGCAGCTGTGCCGGCCCGTGCGCAGGTATTAAAATCTATGTAACGCCATCTTTTAATGTTATTTTCATCAATTTGTATACTACCGATTAATTTAAAAAATTTGCACTCGTATCAAGGACTGATGACTCTCATAGAATATCAGCGTGAAATAGTAGCTTAATGCTGCTGTGTTTCGTATGGTGAGTGTAGAAAACCGGAGCACATTTTAATTACAAATGAGGCTTTCCATCTTAGTCTTTAGGGGTGACAACACATCTGCATTTTGATTCTTGATTGCGAATAAAAGTAGACATCTATGGTCCACAGTTTCCATTTACCATCAGGTGGACTGTGTGTTCCTTTGTCCACTCGTTATATAAAAAAATATACATTCTTACTTCGTTTACCGATACCGTTACAGCCTATTAAAGTTCACTGCTGAACATAAACCTCTTCATAGATAGCCCCATAAGAGGATATTTTCCGTAGTTACCACGCTTGGCAAACAGGTTGGCATCCACATTTTTTTTTGGTTGTTATTAAGAAGAAGCTGTGGCCCTACATTCTTACATACAACGTTTTCTTCTTATAAAAGAAAATGGGACAGTAGATTGGAACTTTTGAAACACCATAAACTCGCTGTTCCACGCAGCACTAATATCAAAAGTAACCTTGGATTGTATGTTTGGTACGTACGAACTATCGGCACTTACATTGTTCTTACTTGCAGGCTTTTTAATTCAATGATTGATAGCACTGAAGCGAATATATTCTTTAATAGTACTGTTAAGCTGAAGCGAATTTTGGCGATGAAATTTCTAAATTGTTACAAGCAGACATAAATTATAAGTCTGTTTTTCCTAGCTTAAGTTAAAAGATAATTGTTGCCTGGCTGTATCGTTTTATTAGCATGTAATTGTACTATTTTATTTTCCAATCTACTTGTCAAAAGTTGCAATCGTTAATTTCTACATACATTTAAAAAAAAATTGATTATAAATAGCTGTAAGTTTATCTAAATACAGTAAATAACAAAAAATAAACGCGTACAGTCCATCTGATAGTAATTGGATGCTGTGGCCTATAGACATAATATACTCAAAAAAAAAAAAAACTAAAAAAAAAAGAATCAAAATGCAGATGCGTTTTCATCCCTGAGGACTGAGATTGAATGCCTCGTTTCCAGTAAAAAGGGTCTCCGGTTCTCTACACTCAACATGCGAAACATAAGAGATAAGAGCATGGTCCTTCCCCTTACGCGCCGACCATTTCATGCTACAACCATAATACAGCTGCATTGTGGCTCTACCACGCAATTCATCTGGCATATCCCATAATTGCCTTTTGCGACACCCACGGGACGAAATAAGGTGATGGATTATCTAAAGCCGCTACCTCACAACAAACATACCTGTATAGCTGTAATTTTTTATTACCATATCAATGTTTTTCCTTGTAATGCAGTTTTTAGTGTAGTTTTTTGCAACTAGATTTTATCGCTTTAATATGGGACATATTGTTTAATTTAAGGAGTAATCTTATTAAAGTAATCCAAACGGATACGCGACTCATTCCTTCTCGTAATTGTTGTTTCATATATAACTATTGACGATGTCATTGCCAATATTAAATGCTTTAATAATGTCAATTTACTATCGTATAAAATTGTTCAAAAGAACATATAATAATTTGTGGCTCTTGTTGCAGATTCACCGCGGAGTATGTATCACGTTGCGTACTGGGCGTGCATTCGAAAGCACTGGCTTCCGTCTTGTGTCTACTTTTAAGACGAGCACGGTTGGATTTAAATTCTGAAGTTGAACAGAAAGAGATAGGTAAGTAACTTAAGTTTTAATTATATTTATTAAATAAATGGTTTCAGATATACAAATATTTGGATCCGATGGTTCTGTTGATGTATTCATTCGCTTATGGTTTTTTTTTATATTTTTGCTATCATATCTCCTTTGTATATTTTTTATTTATGTTCTGACGTAGCTTCTTTATTTATGAACCGATTTTAATAATTCTTTTTTTGTTAATTTTTACTTTGGGGGTATAATATTCATTTGTTTTTAGGTTAAATAGGAGATTAAGTTTTCAATGTAAATTATTATAATTATATTATAAGTGTTACATTGAACTTGTGATATTTTTTTGGTTCACGGAAGTTTTAAAAATAAATCTTGATAAGTAAAATTTAAAACAATATAATAATTTCTATATAATAGCTTTCCGAGTTGGGGCTTTAATCTTTCGATACATTAAATGTTTTCGCATCGGTTTTTTAGTTCCTGTTAATCTCCCGTTTGATTTCCCTTTTTCGTTTCTTGTCACAGTGGAGAGACGCTCTTGAGCAGTGGATTTTTTTGTGTTTCTATTTACTGTTAGTTTTTATTTAAAATATAAAAGTTCGACCACTGCTAGATTTTCTCTAGATAAGAGAAACGATTTCATTGAAAAACATCGATTGTTGTTCTTCACGCCAAATGCGACATGTTTTCATCATCGTCACGTTTGGCAACGTCTAATACTTTATTATTAATACAATTAGTAAGTAAACGTTATGTACAATATGACATTGTGATTATATGGCGAAATAAATATTTTCTTCCTTTTATTACGCCATAAATATATTTATTGCTCCGTTGGTTTAGACGTCGTAAAAAACGCGGTTGATGATTATGAGGTTTCCAAGGGTTTGAATCCCGGATCGTGCCAAAATCAGTCATTGGGATTTTTTATTGGTTGGCGGAGTTATAACCTCTTGATTCAGGAATCGTCTCTCTCCGTCGTGTAGGATTACGGTTCCATTGGACTTTGAGGCTGTGGGCACGAAATTAGCGACGATCGAGCGATGGCGGTAGCGGGGCGGGGGCACGGGGGACTAGGCAGCTTTTTTGATTGGTTGAAACTATTGGAACCTAGTCTCCTAATGAGAGTAGAATTGTTATTAGCTAGAGATTGTGTTCATTCAATAAATCATGAGAGAAGTAGTTAGGGCGAATGGTCTACCCTTTGTTATGAATAAAGGTGTCATTCAAAGGAATTTTGTAACTATACGATAATGAGAATCAGTAACTACAGACATATTTGATAATAGAGAAAATTAGATGCAATTTTGAATCTATTGTCGTTGGAATTATTATCAACCTACAATATTTAAATTATAAATAAAAATACAACCCTATATACTGGAGCAAGCGGTGTAATCGTTAAATGTAGTAATTTTGCTCCTGTGTTCATCGCCCCGCCACCGCCCGTGCATCACTCGATCCCCCAGCGCCGCTCTCGCTCACTTCGTGCGCGTCGCTATATTAAACTACGCTTTTGTTTACGTCGCTGTCGCATCGCGCCGCCCCGCAACCGTCATCGCTCTACTGTCGCTAATTTCGTGCCTGCAGCCGGAGTGAGGGAACAGGAAGTGCATCTTAGTTTGTACATACGGAGTGAGGGATCAGGGAGTGCATCTTAGTTTGTACATACACTCGGGCATTATAATCGTTAATTGTCTTTTTTTTCTATATTTATTCAAGAAAATGTTACTTGTACACTAGGATTCTCTCCCGTATCGTAGGGGTAATTTATATACATAAATTTTAAAGAGTCTGGATGTTCGTGTGTCTTGCGTCTTTAAATATTTGTTACATGTGAGATTCGAACCCGCTGCTCTTCGCGCCTATTACATACTCTTATATATTCATTCCTTAGTCGCAGCGTCACGAAGCAGTGCGCTCCTTTATTAGAGCTCCTTACCATCATTCACGGGATAATTTATATCCTTATGTTGTCACTAGACGGCAAAAGTTGTAATGTGTGCATAATCGTAGGCGCGTCGTGGAGCGTGTCGCTAGAGTCGCTGTGCGAGAAGGCGGGCGGCGGCGGGAGTGTGGTTGGGGCTCGTGCGACGGAGCGCGCCTCGCAGCTGGCGGGCGCGCTGCAGGCGGCCAGCGCGCGGCTGCAGCGCGCCGCCGCGGGCCAGCGCCGCGTGGCGAGAGCGCGGGCCGCCGCGCGTTCCGCCCGACTGCGCGCCGCCGCGCACGCGCAGCTGCACCGCCAGGTATGTACCTACCGACACATAAGCACCGCGCACCTGCTCCGCCAGGTACGTACCGACATATACATACCGACACATACGTACCGACACGTACGTACCGACACATACGCACTGCGCATCTGCACCGCCAAGTACGTACCGACACGTACGTACCGACACATACGCACTGCGCACCTGCACCGCCAAGTACGTACCGACACGTACGTACCGACATATACGCACCGCGCACCTGCCAAGTACACCGACACGTACGTACCGACACGTACGTACCGACACTCCGTTCGTAACGACACGTACGTACCGACACATACGCACCGCACACCTGCACCTCCAAGTACGTACCGACACGTACGTACCGACACACGCACCGCGCACCTACCGCCAAGTACGTACCGACACGTACGTACCGACACGTTCGTAACGACACGTACGTACCGACACATACGCACCGCACACCTGCACCGCCAGGTACGTACCGACACGTACCTATGGACACATACATACCGAGACATACGTACTGACTACTTGCACCACCAGGTACTTACCGCCTGCACGCAGAGTACTGTTTTTTTATATATATATATATACAGCTTCACCAAGTATACTGCCTGACAAATAAGTGGCATATTTTTTGGTAGGTCTCTTGGTAATAGTAGGTTAGGTTAGTAGCGTAGGTTATGCAGCGCAGTATATTAAAATAGTAAAGTCTTTTTATTCTACTCCTCACAAGTCCTACCAAAAACAAATCACGGCCCTATGTTAACTTACATCTCCATCAGAATTAAAGAACACAATAGACTCGAAGTCCCTTTAGATAATATTTATACTTCTTAACAATTTACACTATATGTATAGTCAATAGTATCGTGTAAAATTCTCTTTTAAATCGGAAAAATTATATTCCTCTTCAACGCTATTAATCAGTCTGAGATCACAAAATTATTACTGAAATAATTATTAAAATCATAACAACAATGATAGACCTTTATTATTTATTCAATATTGACCTAAAACATTGGTGCAAATATGTCATGTAGGCTACTTATGGACGGATGACTAAACGAACAAATTTCAATGAGTTTTATAAAATAATTTGTTTATTTGTTATATTCGTAGTGGTTACCTCAAGACTCCCACCTTGTACCAATTTTGTTCCCATTATTTGTAGATGTCAGTGATTTTTGAGTACCTCATTGAGCAGAAAAGTTTTTATAAGTTCAAATTAACAATACTATTTCTATTTGGTTTATGCTTTCGTTTCCATCCATAGATTTCGTCATAGAGGGAAATTAGTAATAGTTGCCACTTTTGGCAGGTGGGTAGGCAACCCCAGTTGTTATTAATTGTTAGCAGGAAGATGCTGTTGCCCATCTCTTGTTACGGTTTCCCTCTGTAGCCTTCTACGACACCTATGAGACGATATAGGGCAGTGAATATTCTTACACCGCAACTAAACGGTTTTGTTAAGTTTTGTCTTGTTGTAAGCAGTTAGTTTGTCGGCAGGTGGTGAACAACAGCCAGGAGCCGAGCCCCATGCTGGCGCGGCGCGCGCGCGAGCTGGGCGCGGCGGGCGAGCGGCTAGCGGCCGCCTGCAGCCGCGCGCAGGCGCTGCTCACCTCCGCGCACCAGAGGTAACGCCGCACCACACCACGCTTCATCATCATCGTCTTTATTACAGTCCTTCACGACTCCACTGCTGAATATGGGCCTCCAAAGGAATGCTACTACAGTATCTGCACCTACATCAAAATAATTTAGTACATGTGGATGTGATACTATAATATGTCGGTTACTTATTCCAAATAAACTGATTTGTTATCTATTTTTTACATGAAATAATTTCTCTGTTAACACATTTGTATAACAAATTATGGTTTGTAAATATATTGTCAAATTATTCTCATCCTTTATTGTAGTCAGTTATTCATATCAAGGTACTCCCACAATTCATTTCATTAGTATTTTAAATAACACGCACATTTTAAATAAACTAACTGTTTAACTATTTTGTGTCAACAGAGGTCGTACTACTAATAGATTACCGTCTTTCATAATCTTTTTGTTCTTGTATAACTATTTGCTTGTCACCAGATGTCGTTGTACTAATCGATTTACTATATTTCGTAATCTCTTTGCTCCTGTATATAACCGTTTAACTTGTCACTAGATGTCGCCATAATAAAAATTGAAATAACTGAATCTCGATGTTGAGATTATTTGTAATTTTATAAGGTGCGAAGAATTTTTCAATAAATTAGCTCATTTGTGTTAGCAACGTACTGGTTGTTTCAATTACGTATCTCATTTCCAAGTGAAAGTTCGTTAGTAAACTAACATTAAGGTCCTTCGAGCCGGATACTAAGGAAGTGTCAATCATTGCGCCTTCCGGAGTTTTTTTTGAATCAAGCACAGAAAGCAGTGGCGGACCGTCACTGAAGTGCTTCCCGGTGAAGTGGGAGTGTAGTGTATATCCAACTTCATTGGACGAGGGAAAGGCAGGTCGGCGTAAGTATCAACCAAGCTGCGCTAGAGGGAAGTGAAATCAAACGACGAAAAAAGTGACAGTGACAAGAAGCAAACGTCATCTGTCAGTCAGCAGCATTGGTGGAAGAGTGAAGTTCGAGCAATACGTAATTGAAGATAATTACATCATAAGGAGGTTTGGTGTGTATAAGTGACGTGAAGAAAATAAAACCGTGAGTACTTTATATTGTTTATGTTGCAGTTGTATTTGGACATTAAGTAAAGTGTTGCAAGGTTGCCTAATAGTTAAGTAAATTTTAGACTTGTAAAAATTTAATGTTCAATTATTTGAGACTTAGAATAATTATAAAGAAAGTGATTATACGGGGAACCTATGCTGGATTTCGCCTTAATGTGTTATTTCTTAAACACTTGTGAAAAATTTTGTCTTATTTGGAACTTGTAAAATTTTCTGTATGTTAACTTCATACGGAATAACTTGTAAGAAAATTAAACATATACGATTTGTTCCACGTGTCAATTTACTTGTAAATTAGTTTTGAACGGCCTATGATTTTAATTTGTAAACGAAATAATATACTTGTATTATTCACTAGTACAATAACTTAAATTAAGATTTGTGTCATCTTGAACTTTAATAATTTGCTTCTAAGTCTCAGTCGCTTTTAACTTAAAATGGATAACTTTATTAAGGTTCAAATAGACATTCAAAGTAGAATAAAAAGAACTTTAATTAATTACAAAAGTCTCCGAAGGAAAGAATTAATGCAACATATATTGAAATTCGTATACAAAATTTAGATGCACAATGGACGCAGTTTCTTGAAACACATGCTCGTCTTATTGAAAAGTGCGGGGAAAGAGAATTGTTCGAAAGTGATTACATTAAAAACAAAATTTATGATGAAACAGAAAATGCATATATAGAAACTAAAACTGTGTTAAAAGATGAGCTTGCTAAGTTAGAATCGGTTCATAAAATTGAAAAACCTAACTTTGAAAAAAGGTTTAGAATGTTCAAATGTTAAGCTTCCAAAGATATCCATACCGACTTTCAGTGGAAAGTATACCGAGTGGACAACGTTTAGGGACTTATTTGTAACGCTTATACATAAAAATGCATCTATTGAGAATATTCAAAAGATGCATTATCTTAAGGCGCATTTAATAGGTGAGGCAGAACAACTTTTAAGACATATTCCTGTAACAGCTGCTAATTATTTAGAATCTTGGACTTTATTAAATAAGCGATATGATAATAAAAAATATCTCGCGAATTGTTTATTAAAGAGATTCATGAGTCAACCAAATATTTCTGAATCTTCACGCTCCATAAAGGAACTGCTTGATACTACTGTAGAATGCTTAAACGGTTTAAAGAATATAGGCGTGTCAGTAGAGTCGTGGGATGTTATTGTAATCTACATTGTCAGTGCAAAATTAGATAATGAAACACGTAAGTTATGGGAATCTACCATAAGTGCGTCCGATGATCTACCCAATTTCGATGACTTTACAAAGTTTTTAGAAAATCGGTTTAGATCATTGGAGTTTTTGGATACAAAGGTAAAAACAAAGTCTATTTCTAAACAGAGTGTTCTACACTCACTTAAGACTGATTCATCTAGTAGCTCTTTAAATAATTGCCAATTTTGCCGAGGATCTCATAAAATTGCACATTGCAAAGAATTTGCTCGACAGGATTATGACAATCGGCAAAACTTTGTTCGAAACAACAATTTATGCTTTAATTGTCTGGGAAATAACCACTCAGTTTATTTTTGTCGCCAAACCTCTAAGTGCCATATATGTAAAAGAAAACACCACTCATTGTTACATCCAAACCGAAAGTCAAATCAAGTAGCGAACGGAAAAGCAGAGTCTAGTGCCGTTAATACGGTGACAGAAACTGTCCAACCAAATGAGTCAACTAGTATAACCTCATGTTTTTCAAATATTCATAGTCATGTTCTTTTGGCTGCGGCCTTAATAAAGGTTTTGTCAAAAAATGAGGTTGGAATTACTTTTAGATGCCTTTTAGATCAGGGATCCCAAGCGTCTTTTATTACTGAGAACGCAGTTCAAACGCTTGGATTGAAAAAGATTCCGACGAAGGTTGTAATTTCAGGAGTAGGAGGGCAGGAGGGCATAGTATCGAAACATGTAGTTATTGCTAATCTACAGTCAATCTATAATCCCTCTTTCATGATAAGGGTAAAACTACATGTTTTAGACAAATTGACAGCATTCATACCTTCAAGGAAGGTTGCCGTTCAATTGTGGTCGGAACTATCTAAGTTGCATTTAGCTGATCCTAAATTTTATATACCTAATAAAGTAGATTTATTACTGGGAGTAGAAGTATACGGACAAATACTAGAAAACGGTCTAATAAAGGGTCCACAAGGATCACCAGTGGCTCAAAACACTAAATTTGGATGGATTCTTTCAGGAAAAATTGATACAAATTTTTCTACTGAATCGGAGAGTGACTCCAGTAATAGGATCGTCAGTATGCATTCCTATGCAGATGAAAATGAGGTCTTAAGAAGGTTTTGGGAAATAGAGTCTGATGATTTTTCCTACAAGAAGAGTAAAATATTAACTCCAGAGCAACAAAAGTGTGAAGAGATCTTTTCACATACAACCTCTAGGGACGACTCTGGACATTATGTGGTTTATTTATCGTTTAGGGATGAAGATCCTAGCAGCAAATATGGAAATTCGAGGGAGATAGCTACTAGAAGATTACATGTGTTAGAAAGGAAGTTGGACAAGAATCTTGAGTTAAAGACACAATATTCCGCAGTGTTACAGGAATATCTTGATCTTGGCCATATGGAGTTAGTGTCTGAGAAGGAAAGGGAAGATGTTCATGTAGTTTATCTACCTCATCACGCTGTGGTGAAAGAAGATAGGACTACCAGCAAAATACGTGTTGTTTTCGATGCCTCCTGTAAGGGGAGTAATGGAGTATCACTAAATAACGATCTTTTAGTAGGGCCCACATTACAACCTCATTTGCGGCATATAGTGATGCGTTGGCGACAACATCCTATAATTTTAGTTGCTGATGTGGTAAAAATGTACCGTCAGATAAAGGTGGCAAAAGAACATTGCGACTTTCAACGCATTGTCTGGCGGGATCAATTTGGAAACCTTCAATATTATAGACTATTAAGGGTTACATTTGGCACAAATTCTGCTCCCTATCTTGCTGTAAGGGTATTACAACAGCTATCCGTTGATGAAGGAAAGAACTTTAAATCAGTCGGGGACAGAATTACCCAAGATTTTTATATGGACGATCTCATGACTGGTTGTCAGTCGGTTGAAGAAGGAATAGCAGTTTATAAAGAGATGAAATACTTGATGCGAATGGGAGGCTTTGAGCTACAAAAATGGGGAAGCAACAGTCAAGAACTGTTGGAAAAGGTAGAAGAAGTTAAAGGGGATAAAGATAACGAAAAAAATGTTGACATGGGAGTTGAAAAGGGAGTAAAGGAAGTTAGAAAATTTCTTGGTCTAAACTGGAATAGCGAATTAGATATTTTTGAGTATTTGGTTAAACTCCCTGCTTTGATTACCCCTTTGACAAAAAGGAAAGTAGTGGCAGATATTGCTCGTTTATTCGACCCCCTTGGTTGGATATCACCTGTAATAATTAGTGCTAAAGTTATTATTCAAAAACTTTGGATGTCGGGCATTGAATGGGATCAGGAGCTTCCAGATAAACTTTTACAAGAGTGGTTGACATATCGTAGCAACTTAATTGATCTTTCTAGTTTCACTATTCCACGATGGATTTATACAAGAGACAACGATGAAAAGGTTGAACTTCATGGCTTCAGCGATGCCTCTTGTCATGCCTATGCAGCGGTGGTTTATTTAAGAGTCATCAAAAATACTGGAGAAATATATACGAGCTTAGTCACTTCTAAGACAAAAGTGGCACCTATTATTCAAAGATCTATTCCACGCCTTGAATTGTGTGGAGCAGAATTATTAACCCATTTAATGGTTGATGTTGCTGAAACGTTGAAAATACCAAAACATAATATACATGGTTGGACCGACTCGTCAGTGGTGCTTGCTTGGTTAAGCAGCCATCCAAGCCGATGGCAAACCTTCGTTGCAAACAGGACAT